TGTCCTAGGGTGGTGAGGCACTGGCACAGGTTGCCCAGAGAAGTTGTGGCTGCCCTCTCCCTGGCAGTGTTCCAGGCCGTGTTGGATGGGGCTTTGGGCAACCTGGTCTAGTGGCAAGAGTCCCTGGCCATGGCAGGGGTGTTGGAACTAGCTGATCTTTAAGGTCCCTTCCAACCCAAACCATTCTATGATTCTGTATTTTTCTCATAACTTGAAATATGCTCTTCCAGGATGGACAAACTGTGAGGTACTTGAGCAAAGCAACGGGGCTGGCTGAGGTGCTGGAACAATTTACCCAGCCTGTGGTTGGCTTTCTGGCTGTGTGGAAAGGCTGTGAGAGAAGGAAGAGCAGGAAGAAACTTGTTGAACAAATGAAGTGTTTTCATGATATAGGCTGGCCACTGGTGCTATGGCGGTGTGACAAAGAGGTGGTTAGGAACAGGTGAGCAGAAGTTGTGCTGCCCGTGTGGAAGGTGTAGAAGGAATCTGTTGGGAGTTACAGGGTCTGTATTTCTCTAACTTACAGTTGCCTAACAGTAATTTCTGCCAGACCACCTGAAGCGTGCAGGTTGCATGTTTAAGGGTGAGGACTCCTCTTCCTCTCCTCTCTCACTAGCTGTTAGAATTTGGCTGTTTGACTAGAATCTTTGTAGCAATCGCTAATCTTGTGGAGCAGTTACTCAGCAGTTTTGTTCATGAAGATGACGTGAGACTGACATACGATGATGCACTTCAGTGGCAAGGGACACTGATCAAAGTGAAGCAGCAGTCTTTGTGAGCTCTGGTTCTGTTCTGCGATGTGTTTGCCAGGCAGAGGAATAAAGAACTTGTTGCATGACTGCCTAAATACTGAGTGCTGCCTACCTTCCTAAAATGGAGTAGTGTACAATATAAGTATCCTTCAGATTTCTTTGGGTGCAGTATTAACAAGGAGCATTAACACTGGATCAAAAAAGTGGTCAAACCATTGAATGTGGGCCTCGGGCTGAAAGTGGGGAATGCTTTGTTTTTAACTAAGAATTTGTGATGTATTGTAGCCTTGACTATGCTGGTTTGCCAGATCTGTCTCTTATCCAGCAAGAAGTGGATGCTCTAGAAGAGCTGAGTCGGCAGCTTTTCCTGGAAACTGCTGACCTACATGCCACAAAGGTACATAGCAAAGTGACTGCCCAGGTGGATGTTGGGATGCCAGAGTAGTTTGAAAGAGAATGTATGTTACAAGAAATTGAAAGTTGTTCAGTTTTTTTAGGATCTGTTTCTTTAATTTGGGGTCTAGATGGCAGTTTCCTTCCAGTTACTGGTATATGTCCCTAAAGCCATTCAGAGACTTTTGAGTTAAAACTTTTGAGTTCAGAAACATTTGAATTAATAGGGTTCTAGAAGGATAAAGCTGTGTTTGTTGGTGCTCCATTAAAATTTTGTGTTGTGGGTGACTGTGGAAATGACTTTTTTTTTTGTATTATGTTCTCCCTCGCCCCTTTTTGTATTTTCAGGAGAGAATAGAGTACTCCAAAACTTTCCAGGGAAAATACTTTAATTTTTTGGGTTATTTTTTCTCCATCTATTGTGTCTGGAAAATCTTCATGGTACGTAAATGTTTTATCGCGTTTTATGTGGACATAAGCAAATGTCACACCCTGCATAGATTATACTGTACTTGCAGTTCATCAAATAATGCTCTAGTTAGCTTAAAATCCTGCTTCTGGAAATTCTGAAAGAAACTGGCCCTTGGTTGGAATAAGCACTGCGTCTCTGTTCTTGTGTAGAGCCTTAGACAAGCATTTTTTACATGGGTGCATTTTGCACCTATTTGACAATCTGACCACCCTCTGCCCCATCTCATAGCAGTGAGAGAGGCTGTTTTCTTGTTTGAATGTAAATGCATCTCTTTCTTGCAGGCAACCATCAATATTGTATTTGACCGTGTGGGGAAGACTGATCCGGTCACAAGAGGAATTGAGATCACTGTAAATTATCTGGGAATTCAGTTTGATGTGAGACTTTATTAATTCTTATAGCCTTTTCAGTAATACCTATCTTATCTAAATAAAATCATACTGCTGACAGGGAGAGAGTCATTGAGCTCTGAGAATGTGTCTTTGACTTCTTCCATATTGAGGAAGAAGGGAAAATGCACCATGAACTTTGCTTTCACACGGTTTTTTTCCTGGAGTGGTAATGTGGTCTTACCAGAGAGACAGTTATTTGCTTGTTTGTTTTGGGCAAATGGAAGCATGTTAGTCAACTTTCTTAGATGAATACATTTATCTACAGAGTAATTATGTTTGCCTGTGTACATAGATGTTCTGTCATTTACACTTTTTAAACATATCCCCGTGAATATAGGGTTATATGTGGTTGGTGTAAACTAAATCTGGGTTGGAGTAAACAATTGCAAATAGGTTTGTGAAAATGTTATATAAACCTGTCTATAATGGATATCTGTACAATTAAGAAATACAAAGACCCTGAAGAATTAGCAGCTGTACAATGTGGTGTGAATGGGGTGAGTGTTAGGGATTTAACTGTATTCTTCTTGCTGATACAGGTGAAATTCTGGTCTCAGCACATTTCCTTTATTCTTGTTGGAATAATCATTGTTACCTCTATCAGAGGATTGTTAATCACACTTACAAAGGTAAGAGCCGGGCCACACTTACGTGGTTGTGGGCCAGGAAAGCTGTTACCAGATCTTTAACTTTAGACAGGGCAAATACTGTATGAACTTTTAATACACATTTATGTTTTAAATGTCTGAATATAAATCCTTGCAGAGGAAGGAAAAATATCTTCTGCAGTATATTTCTGCACTCAGTCTTTATTGTTATTACTCTGAGGAAGAGATGTGGATGTTAAATGAGATGTTAAATGTAAGCAAGGGTTCAAAATGGTGCTGTAGCCAGGGCTTATTGGTAAGGTTGATGAGATGATGGTTGAACGAATTTAGATTTGCTTAATTTGAGCTGCAGGTTCTTTAGGTAGAACTGGAAAGGCATTAACTCAAAAAACATGTGACTCATTTTGTTGACCTGGCTTTAGGTACCTAAGCTTAAACATTAATATATATCCTTGTATGACTTTTACCACGTGGTACCACTGGCTTAGGGAGATTCATGTTTAAGACTAAGACTGCAGGTTTCTGAAAGTAGGGTATAGGCACCCTTCCAGAAAATATGCTTTTTATTTTTTTTTTTAAATGATAAAGTATTGAATGGTATATACCTATCTTGCTGTCCTAAGGCGCATTGGACCTATCTGACAGCTTATTTCCAGTGCTTTTTTTTCCTTTCTAGTTCTTCTATGCCATTTCCAGCAGCAAGTCCTCCAATGTTATTGTTCTGCTTTTAGCACAGATCATGGTGAGTATGTAGAACCATGGGCACACCTATATACATTTATGCTTACATTCTTATTTCTGTGTGTATACATATACACATAATTAGGTCTTTGTATGCTGACCTGTCTTAGCCACGTATCCAGCTCTGAAATGATTGCTGCTTTCTCTTTTTTAACTTACAGGGTATGTACTTTGTGTCATCAGTGCTCCTGATCCGGATGAGTATGCCGCTAGAGTATCGTACTATTATTACAGAAGTCTTGGGAGAGCTCCAGTTCAACTTTTATCATCGTTGGTTTGATGTTATATTCCTAGTTAGTGCACTGTCCAGTATTCTCTTTCTCTATTTAGCACACAAACAAGCCCCAGAAAAGCATATGGCCGTCTAAGTAAGGACTGCCGCCACGCACTGCTCTGTCCTTTCTGCTGGGCTGCTGCAACTCCTGTGGACTGCAAAACTTGGAAGAGAGCTACGACTGTTCTGTGTGTTCCAGCAGTGTAACTGGCTCTTTGAACTTCCACACATGCTTTCATCAACTCTGTGGCTCATTTCGTTAAGGTGTCACAGCTTGAAGGAAAGGGGATGCACACATTGAATGTGAGATCGTTCATTGCCAAGGAATAAGGCCACTCCTTGGTACACCAATGCCTAGGGGAATCAGAACTTGCATAATAGGCTGTCTTGGGTAAGACCTCTTGGTTTTAGAAGAACATCTTCACAGAAGGCACCAAGGAAATGCTATTTTTCTTTTGAAAATTGACTCATAATTGGCATTCAGAGGATGGCAATTCTGGATTTGAATGTTTGAGTCTGTGGAATTAAATAAGCTTTTGTAATATGTCTTACAAGCATTACAGTTGTTTTTTGTCAGCCCCAGAGATATGGCTGGAAGTGAGCTAGAAAGTGGCTAGGATTTGCTGCCTGGCAGAAGAGAAATGGCGAGAATTTCACTCCATTTGTGTATGTAGTGTACACTAATGTGTATCACTAATACCTACTGTTCCGAGTCTCAGCTTTGTTTTCTATCCCTGCATCAGTGGAACTGAGATTTTGGATTCCTCTTCGCTAGAGTTCAGAGTGAAGTCAAAGACTGCAGCTGTGCCTTGTTTATCTTATACGTTACAAATTTGTTTACCTTATATGCTGTAAATTTGGTGTTCCCCACAACATCTGTATTGTTCTACAGTAGCTCATTTCCCCTTCTTGGTGTAATTCAAGGTATAAAAGGAAATTTTATTTACATAACTTAAACTTGTAGCTTCCCGTAGCCACTCTCCCAGACTTTGTTTGGTTTAAAATTGTTCTGGAACATAAGTCATAGGTGATAAGAGTAAGACCTGGGGAAAAAAAAATAGCCACTCTAAACAGTTTTATTTCTGTGTTGTCTTTGGTGTACAGCAAGGAGGCAAAGTATACAGCAGCAGTATTACAAAGCCATTTATGTCGTGTTCAAGACAATGTGGTGTTGACTTGAAGTTAGACAAACCTGCGTGACTGAATTATGCATGCTGTTCTAACTACCATGATCCACAACTATATGCAGAGGAGAGAGAATATTGCTTAAACATCTTGAGTTACGAATTACGAAGTTAGCTTAATTCCTGAAAGACATTTCTGCAGTGTTAGCAGGAGAAAGGAGTGTAATGCACAGAGTACATTGGCTTATGCCATTTCACAGCAGTTGTACTGCGGTAAGTATAGCGTGGAAGAGTCACCACAGAGATTGAGTTGATGGACTTGGATTAGGGGGAGAACTTCCTCTCCTGGGACATGGGGAGAAATCGGTTGCTCTTTATTAAGAGCTTATCCTTAAAAGGCTAAGATGCTTAGGAATTTATAAATGTTTCTGCCTTCTGCTGCAGTATACTTAATTATATACTTCTAGTTATTTAAGCCTTTAAAGAAGTAAGTGACTAACTGCCTGCTTTACAAGGCAGAAAGCCAATGAAGTACAATTGCAGTGTGTTAAATGTATGCAGGTTACACCAAAGTGTTTATTTCAGGCAGCTGCATTTCAGCAAGTGATTGCAGTCCTTTACAGGTATGGCGCTCCAAGGAGCAGTCAAATGCTGGGAGGTGTAGTAGCAGAGAATGATGGAAGAAAGAGGGTTTGGAAGGTTTCTTGTTTTGTTCTTGGCATAGTTTGTCTCCTCACAACTTTGTGTCATCGCTGTCACTGTCTGCTGTTGTAGAGGCAGCTGATTGTGAAGAGGAGGATGAGCTTGCCTGCAGAGGAATAACAAACGCATTCTGATTATTTTTAGTTTGTAAACATGCTTGATAGTCTGCAGTGTTATGAACGACTCCTATGTTCTTCTGCACTAATCATGTACTTGTTCGGGTGGCAGAATGAGTCAACAAATGTAATTTTTGTTGTAGAAGTGCTTTTTGGTTAAGTACATTTAGAGAGAAATTTGTTCAATAGAGGTTTCCTATTGTTTAATTCCCATACTTGCTGGATTTGCACACAAAAGTGATGCTAACTTCAGATCAGCAAAATGCAGCTTGGTGACTAAGAAACTTTTGAAAAAAATTGCAGACAAGACTAATGAAAAATGAATAGGAGACAGTATTGGTCTTCATCATCTTTGTCTGTCTCTTTTGCATGATCAGAAAAGAAGCATTTAAATATTTAAGGCTGATTGCACAGAGGGTTCAAAATTACTCTCTCGGGAAGAAATATGTTCCTGCTTTTCTGACTTCTGTCATGCTTCAGATTCTTTCTAATGACATGAAGTGAGTAAAATGATTTCGAATCAACATGTTTCCTAGAAAATGTCATCATAACCTATCATTTGCTCTTCCTTCTGCAAAATGATCTGTTTTGAAATATTTCACCTGATTTCCCTAAAAGTGTTTTATGCTTTTTGGTGTATTTAAGCATCTTTTTTCACCTGCACTTTCAGGATTGTATTGCCTGTTTCCCATCTTCATGAAGATAGGAAACTGTACTTGGATTATCTTGTTTCATAAAATCTCTGGTATGCGCATCCTTTCTGGGACTTAATCTTGCATTAAAGATACTCGCCTGTATTATGAGTGGGGAAAGGAAGAGTTGTTTGTGATAATCAGACCACAGCTTCCCTTTTAATAACATAGACTGACTTGTAAAAATCCAGGCTCAAGTTAAAAATCCTAGCTCAGGAATACATATGAGCTGAAAAAAGTTCTTTTACTATCCTCTAGATGATCCCTCAACATCTACTTAATGCAGTATTACTCACCCTTTCCCTTAGTTCAGGTGATTTTCTCTCTGGCTCTGACAGATGATTTTCTGTGTAAGCAGGAGGTTCAGAAGTGTCATGGACTGGATCTGCCATAGAGGCTGTGATGGGAATGTTCTGGCCCTGGAAGTATTTGTAAGCATCTTTGGTGCACACCAGTAGTGTTAGTCTGTCGCCACTATCTTGGATTCTTGCCACCACTTTGTCGTAAGATTCGTTGGTCACATTCACCCCATTCACTTCCACCAAAAAGTCATTATTTTCTACACCTGCTGTGTCAGCTGGCCCGTGGTTTTGTACCTGTGAAGGGAAGTTCAAACTGTGATACTAGCATAAAACCTGGAAAGACGCAATAACAAGAGATGGTTAGCTAGACTATTGCGTTACTGCTTTCCTGGCAAGATGGCAAAATAAGCTTGGGGAAGGGGAGGTTTGTGGGGCAGAAACTAATTGGGAGAGGCAATAGGCCTAGACATAACAAACATGGAACCCATCAGTTTAAGATGCATCTTGATTTTGATAGACTTTCATTATAGAAATGGGGCATGGTAGAATCATGAAGACAGGTGGGAAACCAGTTTTCTTATTATTTACACGTCCTTGTCCAGTAACTTTAACTTTGCTACGTTTCACTGATTCCTTAGTAATGAGTGGAACCCCTCCTCTCAAGAAAGCTAAAGGCACAGACATAATTTGAGACAGTAGAGGTTTGAATTTTGTTGGCTGTGGAATTCAAGAGAAGGAGGATAGAACGGAGTGAAGGTGTCTCTATTACATTTAGGATGTTCTACAGTCAAAAAAATCTGTTTAAAATACTAATTTTAGCATGCCAGCCTCATGAATAAAAGCAAAAATGATGCAAAAGCTGGATTCCCGTTCCCTCTACATGCCTAACAGAATGAGGAATGTTTTCTGGTGCTTATTTGTTGTCTTGGTCCTGCAATGTCAGTCTGAGTTTAACAATTACAGCCCTTATCTGAGAGCACTGGAGAACAGACTTGTCTTTTGTGGCTTTTCTTGAATGTATTTGCAGGACGGAAGGGAGGAAGCTGTCCAACAGACTACTGCAGTTTTTCCTTGTTCCTCATTCTACATTAATACCTCATTGATGAACAGTCCAGGCTTGTTCTTGGTCATATTTAAACTGAAGCCAAATCCACTAGGCCCTTTCACCATCTTGCAGATTCTTGGCTTGTGGTTCACTTTCTGCTCAGTGTGCAGCTCCATTATGAGAAGGGGGAAATTTGAGCCTGAAAAAAGTGACAAATAAAACTTTGTTAACATAAAAACTTCTGTTGCGAAATTTGTATTAAGCTTTCATGCTGAACATGTTTTGTCTGAAACCTTTTTAATGACTCAGACTTGAGCTGCAATGAAGAACTCTGCTGTTAATTTCTGGCTGAGTTGAAAACTACAGTGTTGATTTATGTGAGAAGGGAATTTTTTTACTTGTTTTGTTTGTGAATGGTTACGCAGCCGCGTAGCTCTGAATTTGCTTGTCTTCTGACCTTTCTTGTGGTGTGTTTAAATTTAGAATTGTTCCAGTAGTGCCTATAAAAATCCAGAAGAGGCCCAAAATTTGGGTGTTTAGTGACTTGCTGTACAAGTGGAAGGAGAGTTGCTGAAATAGGTGTGTGTCTTAGACATTTCCTGCAAGTCAAAGAAGTGTCTGTCAGAGCAGACTGGCTGTTTCATTGCTGCATATGTCTCTTCATAATGAAAAATTATCAATTCTTATCTATAGTTTGCATTTTCTTACCAGTTTATACATGGTGTCAGTCTCCTTATCCACTACCAACAGTGTGGTTTTTGCCTCAGACTGCTTAATTTTTCCCACGACGCTTTCATGGTCCAGACCATCTACTTGCTCGCCGTTGACAGCTACTAAGATGTCATTGTCTTTGAGACCCGCCTTGGCTGCTGGGCTTCCAGAATCAATATCCTTGATTACATGATCTAAGATCAGAAGAGTAAAAAGTTTGATGTGAAGGTGTATGCTTGGTAAGTTTAAAGATATTAAAATGCATGGCAAAGGCTGATTGTCAGAGCTGCACTTCAAGATGAGATCAGGTCCCTGATACAGCCCTGTTTGCAACACGTCTGTAGAGGACTTCTAGATGACCAGTAAGAAGCCGAAGAGAACGAGGTCTGCAAACCTTGTACAGGAAGAAACTGTATGGTGGATATCATGTGTGTCTGTGTGTTAACTTGGTTCTTACCACCACTATTTTGTTCCATCCGTAGATAAAAGCCATAACCATTTTCTCCTTTCTGGATCTCAATAAGTCGTGGTTTGAGGGGAAGCAATCTTAGGTTGGCGCTCTCTTTGCTCAGCACCATCTTCTGGCTTTTGTAATAGCGGTCTGTTTCTTCATTTGCAAGTAGAAACATAACATGGTTTTCAGACTTCTTTACCTGTGATAGTACATGTATAGTCTCAGATGTCACCCCTTCAACAACATGTGGGAACTGTAGATACTTTGGTAACTGGTCTACTGATACATAGCGGTGTGTGGGTGCTGTTGACGAATGAGCCATGAGGTGCAGAGGCCGAGGTACTGTAAGCTTCCTTTTTTCTTTTTTTTTTTTTTTTTTCTTTTTCCCCTCCTCCAGTCAGAAATTTGGACTGTGACAAGATCTCAGGCGTGTAAGACCCAGCATATATATGGGGAAATTTTCTGTATTTCGTACTGTGTTCCTGACCTCCAGGGAATTAGCTGTAGAGCGCCAGGAGGGTGGCATACAGTGCCGGTAGAATCCAGTGAGCCCAACCAGATAGTGTTTGGCTTATCTAGATGTGGAACTCTACAGTATAGACATACCATGCCATCTATACCACTATTTTAGATTACAGTGACAAGAATCAAGTTTCTGTCACTCTTGGTCCTCTTCCATCTCCCTGTATTACTGATTCTGAGGTTTGGGGTTTTTTTTTGTATGTTAAACCTCTCCAAGTCCATCCTTCTCTTATTCCTTTCTAGTCTAGTTGGTGCCTTCTTTACTCATCTTAGCCAATGTCACTTGCTGCTGATGTTACAGCAGCTCAACAAAACACAGGGGTTGCATGGTTCCATAGTTACTAGTGTGCACTGAATTGTGATGCTGCAATGCCAGAGCGTGTACTGCCTGTCTCATGGCTCTCAGAAATCTCTTCAGCTGCATTTTATCAGTGCCAGCAGTGGAAAGCTGGAAGCCTCATTAGCGATGTTCTTTGTAGCTGAGGCCAGACAGTGAAATTACTTGCACAGTAGTTTTCATTAGTTTTGGACTTCTTAGCAGGAGAAAGGAAATACTGTCTGAAGTCATGGATTTTCCCTGTTCCATGCTAACTGTATCATCAGAGAGTTTCCCCTCTTCCTGACCTGAAAACCACATTTGAGGACTTGCCCTCTTACCATTAGGAGTATTTCCAGGACTTCTAGGAACAGAGCATGATTTGTTTAACAGGATTCCTGACAGCAGTATACTTCTATTATTTAAAATCAGTTGGCCTGTCTTGATGGCAGTATTCATTCAAAGTCAGTTCAAGAGGCTGCTTGACAGCAAAGCCAAAGCAGAGGGGTACTCTGCAGTGTGGATGCTACACGAACAGTAGCTTACAAGATTTACTGTGAAGCATTCAAATCAGCTAGACCTGCCACCTCGGTAACCCTGATAGGTTGCTGTAAAAGTGGGCCAGAAAAGAAGATGAATCAGTATACAAACAAATACCTTTTCCACCACTTCCTCATGTGTGTCATTTTCCACATTTTTTCCATTTATTTCAATCAGGCGATCATTATTTTGGACACCAGCCTTTGCAGCTGCTCCTTGTGATGAAAGGTCTACTATGAACAACCCCTTCTGTCCTGAAATAAATGAAAACTCATTACACAGGGTAAGCCACTGAAATATGCCTGAATTTAACGGTTGGGGAAACTCAGCACTGATGTCCTTAGAGACTCTTGGTTTCTGCTTACGTGCAGATTACAGTGGCATCACAAAGCTTCCACACAGACACACCTCTTACTCTATCCTCGAAAAAATCACTTCTGTGGGGGAGGGAGGCATTTGTTCACTATCTGCAGCTCAAACAGTCTTTTATTTCTCTACTAAGAGTGCCAAAGGGGCTGAAAGGGGTTTGATTCGTGCCTCCCTCCCCCCTCAAATGTGAAGTGAGGAGCTGCTTTTATTGTTGTTTTATACATTTCATAATTTCCTGTCTTTGGAAGGCTTCCATGTTTAGCCTTTCAGTTATATTGCATTCCAAAATGCCCTTTTTAGCAATGATGCTTTCCAGAAGACTGCCCTATTCTGTTGACTGACTGGCCTTGGAAGAAAGAATATGTGGAAGAGGTTCAAAATCCCTTGCTTTCTAAATGAAATAACTTATAAATCAGAAAAAGTGTGTATTACAGCTGTCTAAAACCTTGTGTGCTGATTCCTGAGGTGATTTGGAGGAATGGAATGGGACTTAATGTGACACTGTGAGTGTATATCTGCTATTTGAGTGGTGACTGCAAATTTGGTTTTGGTATGTGGATTTAAACAACAAGCAGAAAATAGCTTATTCTTTTTTTTTTTTTTTCTCCACCCCATAAGAAATATGCTCTTCAGAAAACTGTGCATTGCATATGCTGTACAGAAAGGGACTAGAGATGGATCTGACCTCATCTTTCTCTTAGCAAGAGCAGTTTGTGTGTCCCTGTTGGTCCCCATATTTTAACCATGGTTGCCTCTGTCCCTGCTGCCCCGTATATATATACAGACACACATACCATCTCTTCTCCCCAGGCTCTCACCTGCTGTACTTCTCAGAGAGAAGCCATAGCCTTTCTTCTCCTTCACTAGGTAGCAGAGCCGGGGTTGTGGAGCTGCGGTGATTGCTCCATTGGCCGTGGGGGGTGAGGGCTGCTGCTCTTGCTGTTGTCCTGTTGACATCTTTTGACCCAGCTCTTCCAAGTTCACTCCCTCCTTTTCTGCCTTTTGGTAGGATGCATCATCCAGAACAAGAAGTACAACAGAATTCCCGCTCTTCTTGACAATCTCCACCACCTGTAGTGGACAGGGTGAAATGGCAAGCAGGTCTAAGAGTGATGGCCGTAAAACCTCTCCCCGGGAAGGGTTGCACTGTCTACTGTTTTTGTTGTTTCATCCCTTTGCTTATGCCCTCTGGAGGCGACTCAAAGACATTTCATGCCCATGGAGGGTAATAAATGATGCAGGGAGCTACTCAGAGCAGTTGACTCAGCTATTGGATTTCCTAGCCAAAGATGCCACAAAAACGGGAAGAGAAGGCTTCACATGGTGGCAGTGGGTCTGGGTAATGGGGGACTGGTGTGGATCCCAGCCTAAACAGAAATCTACCTGAGCATGTTCCTCCTTGTCTACAAACACGCCATTAACCCTGAGGAGTCTGTCTCCGTCCTTCAAGCCAGCCTTTGCAGCTGGACTGTTCTTTTCCACATTCCGGATGAGATGCCCTGCTGTGTCTTTCTCAATACGCAGGTAGAATCCGTACCTCTTTTGGGGCTTTTTGGTCACTTTACATTCTCGGGGCTGGAGAACGGAAGTCATCTCTACCAGACAGGATGGAAAAGATAACATGTGAGTAAAAGCAGTAAGCTTACCTAGGTATGTTCCCTCTAAATACATACTGAGACAGTTTGCTTCAGAATTTGTGAGGTTTTGTTTCTCATGAAATCTATCCGTGCAAAATTGAAGCTAGTTAACAAGGCTAGGGAGAAGAAACCAGTCCCTTTTCCCTCTCCCTCCTCGCTTCTTGTCTCCCTGTCTCAAATGAAGCAAGATGCACAACTGGAAGAAATTGTCTGCCTGTGATAACATACTGAAAATTGAGGTGAGGAGGTAATACCAGAATTAAGTCTTACAGAGGAAAAATAATAGCAGCACCAAAATACTGGCACACTGTAGCAAAGTGATGTGACAAAATGGGATTCCACAGAATCGCAGAATGGTAAAGGTTGGAAAGGACCTCTGGAGGTCATGTGGTCCAACCTCCCAGCTCAAGCAGGACCACACAGAGCCAGTTCCCCAGGACCAAGTCCAGGCAGCTTTTGAGTACCTCTAAGGAGAGAGGCTCCATTACCTCTCTGGGCAACCTATGCCAGTGCTCAGTTGCTGTCATAGTAAAAGAGCATCCTTACATTCAGATGGAGCCTCCTGTGATTCACTTGTTCCTGTTGGTCAGGTGCCTTGTGCTTTTTGGAGTCTCTGTGCAGTTGCACTGGGACTAATTCCAGATAGGGATGGACTGCCCTATTATATGGACATTGTGTGGAACACACCAGACTATATTAATTGCAACTACAACTCAGAGCAGTTTTTCTTGATAAACAGTGAGAATCTCTTCTAATTCCTGAAGTTAACATGCAAAACCAGTGGTACAAAGCTGAAGAAACAGTAGGCTTTTATGGGAAAGATTACTTCTTCATATTTAGAAATGGAGGGGCGGTTACAGTGCACCGCATACTACTCTTTTAACCCATGAAACCTTTATATGCCCAGTTACTGGGATCATACAAAGGGGTTTTCTAAGGGAAGACAGATTAGCAAAAAAGGAATCTCTTACCTGTATGTCTGTGTGGAGCAGCCTTCACAGGAATTCTATTTTGCTGTTGCTCCTGTGGTTGTACCTATAAGTAAGGCTGGACTTTGATTGGGCAAAGGTTGATTTAAAAGATGATTTATTTAACCAAGTTTCACTGAATATGTTCAGCACCTTGATAAGCTGTCTTGTCCTTGCCTGCAGAAGTGCTAACCATGTGCATTTCTCAGCAGCTTTGAATTTTGTTCTACTGGTAATTATACTGAAAAGCTCAGTCAAGGAGGTCATCCGAGTCAAGCCTGATCTTTGCTCTGGGCAAGAGCCTTGTCCAGCTATAAGCAATGTCTTAAGGGGAGCAGGTTTGGGTTGTGGTGGGTTGACCTGGGCCAGCAGCATTTGACTGCAGATCAAGAGGTTACCAATCCACACCTGTGTGATGTGTGCTGGATGCCAAAAAAAGGACTGTGATGAGTTGACCTTGGCCAGCAGCCAGCTGCCCACTGAGCCACTCTCACTCCCCTCGTCTACAGGACAGGGGGAAAAAGTGGGATGAAAAAGCTTGAAGAATTCGAGATAGGACAGTAGGTGGGAGAGACACAACGAAAAAATGGGCTTGTGGTTGAGGGGTGGCCCTGACTGTTGAGGCCGTCGCACATATGAAACATGCAATGCGAACAAGTGACCCATGTGAATAAGGTCTCACTGGACTAGAGAGAGGGAGGTGGCTGGGATATCAATATGGTGAGGCCTGACAAATTGACTATACTGGAGCACCGCTCTGAACCTGCCAAGGTAAGTGCTTTGTGTTTACCATGATGGAAGCATCTACTGGGTGACTGGAGACATTCAATGGGACGGTTTGCAGTGTCTGAGATGCCATCCTGTGCCTTGAAAGTCAAGTTCTGTGTTGTGGTACCCCAGAAAGTATTGAGCCAGACAGCGCAACTCATTTCTGAAATATCCTCATACACTCCTGGGCCAGGAAACATGACATTGATTGATGCATCGTATACCCTGTCACCCACAAGCCTCTGGAAAGGCTGAACGATGCAATGGACTGTTAAAGACTGCTGAGAGCATAAGGCACTGGGGAATGGAAGCAGTGGGATGTGAATTTAGCAGAAGCCACTTGGCTGGTTAACACCAGATGATCTACTAACTGCCCTGGTTCTGCACAAACAAAGCCCCTACAGACTGTAGGAGGGAATGAGGCCCCTGTAGTACGTGTAGGTAAGTGGCTGGGAAAGGCAGTGTGGGTTGCTGTCCCTTGGGAAAAGGAAAGTCCATGTGTGGGATTGTCTTTGCTCAAGGACCCAGGTGTACTTGGTGGGTAGTGCAGAGGGAAGTGGAAATCTGGTGTTCACCTCAAAGAGATTTATCCCTGGGGGAAAATAATCCATGATTTAATTTGTGTGATACAGGAAGTAATACAACAGGAATCACATGAACCAAAGGAGAATGAGCATCACGAGGAGCTAGGTGAGTGCAGTGCTGACCCAGCCAAAGCAGTCTTGGTGCTGAATAATCCAACACGCTACTGCTTCTGTTCTGAGTCATCTGCTTGACAGGTAGGACCAAAGTCATCAACTGTTCTTGTGGACTTTGGGGGAGGGGGAGAATGGGGGGGATAATATTTGTGTATATATCAAGGGACAAGGTATAGCGGTTGATGAGGATGTATACACCTGACTATTGGATGTAAAGATGGTTTCAGTATTACAAATATAAGTTGTAAGTGTTGGTAAGAGAGAATTTCAGGAATAAGAAGTAGATAGAATGAAAAGCTTTGAGTAGGGTATAGAAGCTAATCAATGTATGCATGCGGCAGAGGATACTTAGATGAATCATATGATCTGTGACCTGACCATGATGTGAATGATATGGAATAAGGGGTTGAGATTGTACTGTGTCTGGCTGGGATGAATTTAACTTTCTTCATGGCAGCCTGCATGGTGCTGTGCTTTGCATTTGGGGCTAAGTCAGAGTTGAAAACACACCACTTTTTTGGCTGTTGTTGAACAGAGTTTGTTTTCTCTCAAGGCTTCCTCTCCCCATGCCCTCCTGTTATGGGTTTGCATGGCAAGGCTTTGGTAGTGGCGGGACTACAGGAGTGGCTTCTGTGAGAAGCTGCCAGAAGCTTCCCCCATGTCTGATAAAGCCAGTGCCAGCCGGCT